GTTAATTATGGTGGCTATATATATTTAATTATATCCAATCACGCAACAACGTATATTAAATTTTGGAAGAAGCTACATGTATCATAATCAATAACAAATTATGTAGCTTCGAAACATATTACTATCCCAATAATCGAGTTAATTTGATTATCAGAAGCACTGTTATCGGAACTAATACTATTCTAACACTCCAATTCAAATCCTAATAAAACTCTAATTATGACTGTTATCCTATCACATGCAATACCTCATGCCTATATATAAACTAAGAAATTACACAATTTTTATAGTAACTTCACCACCTTCAACATGTATGTTTCTTTTTTATTTTCATGATTATTCTTTAGAAATATTGTGTATTTGATTTAATGGTGATATTTATTTTACATTGCAATTACTTTTTATGACAATTTAATTTTTTTAATATTTCTTTAATTTTTATGCAGAATTTAGAGGATTAAGGATTTGATTGTTGCATGTTCTCCCATCTATTAAGGTAAATTTTCATGTTTGATATTATTTTAATTTAGATTTATTTGATTATATATTGTATTTGATTAAACCGAAATAGAAAACGGATACATTTCCTCTTCTTTTTTTTACTTATATTTTTCCTCTTCTTTTTTTTACTTATATTTTTGCTTTGCAAACCAACGAGCCAGAAATCAAATCCGTGAATGCCCGGTATATACACACGTGAATTGTAAATTAAAAACACTCAGACAAGTAATAAATAATATTAGCTACGTATTAATTGTTTGCACCGATGATGATCAAGGAATGAAGCAAAAATTACTCACAAGTCTTATTGATGTCCGGCGACAACAATTACTCAGAGAAATTTCCACTGCATATGTTGAGGCACCATATATTTGGCAAATATACACAGAAAATAGAACACGGTCATCACGTCGACCGCCCGCCCCTCAAATGGTCAGATCAGATTGTTTGAACCCCTTAAGTTGTTAAACTCTGAATCCTTAAACTCTTTATGGGGTGTTTCTTAATTCTCGATCGCTTAGTTACGTTTCGATCAATAGGAATTAAGAAAGATAACACAATATATACACAAGGCCAAGGAGTGAATTATTGAGTACTATTGTTTCGAAGTGGAAATTGATCGGTAAAAAAAGAAGAGGAGGAAGAAGAAGTAATCCATCAGTCTATTACAGTTAAATAACACAAAAAATCACAAGAATAAATTAACATATAGAAGAAATAGCAATCCAAACAAAGAACCATGCTTTTTAAAATATGAAAAATTAATGGTAGAAAATTAAATTGTGAAAAAATCACCCTTATAGAAACCGATCTCCGGCCTGAAGACGTCGGTTTTTGGGGGGGTGAGAGACTTAGAAGCAAAGCGATGAGATGATGACAGTCATCTATCTATGTGCATAAGACTGTCTAATAAAAGAGAGTTGGGAGAAAGTGGACCCAATTATACATACGTTTATGGGTTAATTACGAACATTCTGCTGTAGTATCACCCAATTGCAAAATAGAACCTTCTATAGTTTTTTTGTTGCAAATAGACCTTTTATAGTTCTATTTGTTACGAATAAACTCTCCAAGTGATTTTTTTATTCTTAAAATTATTTTTTTAAATGTAGGAGATGGATAGATTCTTTATAGTTCCATTTGAGGATAGACACCCAATTGCAATTTTTTTTTTACTTTCAAAGTAGTCAAAAAAGTTTACTAAAAAAGTGTATTTGCAATTGGGTCAATGATACAAGGGGCCTATTCTCAACAAGTACTATTGTAAGGGTCTATTAACAATAACAGAACTATAGGGGTCTATTTGCAATTAAACCGAAATAGAAAACAGATGCATTTCCTTTTATCCTTTGCAAACAAACGAGCCAGAAATCAAATCCGCGAATGCCCGGTATATACACACGTGAATTGTAAATTAAAAACACTCGGACAAGTAGTAAATAATATTAGCTACGTATTAATTGTTTGCAGCAATGATGACCAAGGAATTAAGCATAAATTACTCACAAGTCTTATTGATGTCCGGTGACTGGTATACCTCCACTTCAATGTCCACCATGATTTCTATCATAACTGCCACCACTTTGACCATCGGAACCCCTTCCCGGACTGCCGCGGACAAGCCCGACGGAGGCTTATAGTACCAAGGAAACATCGGGAGTATCGGGTTCAGCGGAGGCGGGGTGGGGAATCCTTAGCTCGGCGGAGGGTTATAAGGGAAATACCCCTGCGGCGGCGTCAAATAGTAGTAGCCGGAGTCGTCTTCCGGAGGCTGCGGCAGCGGATAGATGTAGCTTTATTCCGAGGGTGAAGGTGGCGACTGAGATGGCGGCGTCAGCGACGGATGGTAGACGACACCCACTGGCAACAAAAAATAAATATGTCGACATGCTAAATGATAAAATAATAAAACAATTTCCATGTGAAGGAAAATAATTCTACAGCTTTGATGAAGCAATTGATGGCACTAATCATCACTACCAGCAAGAGTTTAAACACAAGTTGCTACCAAATGGACTACCACCCCACAATCTGGTATTAAAAAAACATTGTCCTATTATTTTATTATGGAACCCGGATCCGTCTAATGGGCTATACAACGGAACAAGAATGGTATGTCAATATTTTAATTGTAATATAATTCATGCTAAGATCACAATGGGACAACATGCTGAGAAAGAAGTTTTCTTGCCAAGAATATTGTTGTTTCCAACAGAAGATGAGGGGTTCCCATTCAAGTTCAAACGAAAACGATTTCCAATACGACTATATTTTGCAATGATAATAAATAAATTACAAGGACAAACAATTCCTCATGTAGGTAACTATCTACCTCAACACGTTTTCTCTCACGAACAGCTATATGTTGTTTTATCACGATGGACTTCAATGACAACAACTAAAGTCCTAATAATATCGGACGAAAAATTTAAAGAAGATGAAAGATACACAAAAAATATGGTATATAAATAAATCCTCCAACCAACAAACATGTGATTAGCTTCAAAGTCACAATAGCTATGCTAAAGGTAATTAATTTATCAGAATAATTATGTATGTTCATTCATATTCATTCCTATAATTTATAATTTTCAATATTGTATAACTTTTTTTCCTTTAGCATTCATTTTTTTTCACAACTCAGACTATATTATGAGTTAATAATATTCAAAACCTTATGAGGAATAAGAATTAATAAATTCATTTTCTAAGCTATGGTATATTCTATAATATTAGCCAAAACTAACATGTATATTTTAATCTAATTAACTAGAAAATATAAGTATCAGTATTGAAGGTCAAACTCAACACATCCAAATAAGCCAGCTCAAGAAGTTTCAGAAAGAATGGATCATTCATGTTATCATATTTCGAAGTGCAGAGGCCACTTACAAAAATGCAAAAGGATCAGGAAAATTACTAAAGCTAATTCTCGCTGACGCTCAGGTAAAATAAATTTATTCTTTATATTATATTTCTTGCACAACATTACATCTGATCATATGAATATTGCTAAACCTAAATATCTATTCGGTAAATTTCAATATAAACCCAATAACTTTCAGAATGCCTTTTTATGTTCTTTTTCTGGTTACGTATAACTAATTGAAATCTATTCCTTTATACAAAAAGGAGAAACAAAAAATCACTATTCATGCTACAGTAAATGAAACAGTAGATTTATCACTGTAGCAGAACACACCTCCCACATGAAAAATGAACGGCTGGACTTCAAAATTTAAACATTCAAAATTCAAATATATTCCTTTATACAAATCTATTCCTTTAAAGATTCTCTCTATCTCTACGCTCTTCTGTGTGTCCCCAATTCAAAATTTAAAAAGCATACCTTGAGATCCCCCCCTCCCCACTATCTCTATATTCCAACAAAAAAACTCTCTTTCTCTGAATCCATCCAGATCTCCCCTCCAGCTCCACCGCTCGACTCATCGAACGCGTCCACTCTGCCCATTATCGCAAGAAGAGAATCAACAACAGATCTCGAGACATCATTGGAGACGGTGGATCTGAGCTCATCAAGGCTGGCAGCATCTCCATGGATGGCGGAGTCAACAAGGCGAGTGATCTCAGGCGAGACCTCCGGCATTGGAGTATTAGATCGGGATCTCCTCGGCAAGATCAATGGAGAAGCGAAAGGATCCGAGATTAGAGAGGAGAGAGAGGGTCTCTCTGTTGGGCTAGGGCTTGCATCGGCGCTACCCGCTCCCCTTCGCCGTCAATTTACATTTTTTACCTCTAATAATGCAAAGCCATCGAGAATTACTTCTTCCAGCGTTTAAATCGAAGCGAGCAAAAGAGGGTTTTTGCGATGATTGAACTCAAAACCCTAAGCTCGAGTTCTTGCTATTTGCTTTATCGTTGGAATCTACGAACCCTAGATTCCATCAATCCTCACTCGCTAGAATCTTAGACTGTAAAATCATTAGTTTGGCTCGATTCTCCCTCTTCAATCTCAAGGTTTGCTCACTTTTTTTGGGTGTTTCTTGATTGCAGATATGGATTCGGTAACGTAAATGAATTGGGTGAGTTCTCTATTTGTATCTTGATATTTTCTATTAAAAAATCAAGTGTTTCTTGGAGTTTACTGGTTTTTTCACGGATTTTTTTTCTTGATTTTAGCCATTTTCTTGAGTTGTAGACTATATGTATGAAGCATAGGAAGGAGGAGACGTGTGGAATTGGGAGATGAACAAGAAATATGAGAATGCTTTTGCTACTTACTGCAACGAAATCAGTGATAATTGGGATAGGATTGCAGAGGAGCTTGGAGTAGATGTTGAGGATGTTAAGAATAACTATTGGCTTTTTGAGGAAGATATTGATGCGATTGAAGATGATCGAGTACCTTTGCCGAGCTATTTAGATGACGAGGTGGCTGATGCTGGTGCCCATGGTAAGAAGGGCGGAGAGGGGAAGGGAAGGGCTGAGCAAGAGCAACGCAAAAGAATTGTTTGGATTGAGGAAGAGCATAGGTAAAACTCATCCCGGTGTTAAATTATTTGCTTTATATATTTATCAGCCAAAGAAGATGTTGTTTGTATATTGTCTGATTCTAAGTTTTGCATTTTCAAATTAATACCGTGGAAGCTTCATCAACTCAATTTCGTTAGGTATGTTTTTACTGCTTACAATAATTTATAATTTTTACTATACCCCTCATTTCAACTTATTTGCTATGCATTAAATGAACATTATTGATGAAGGTTTTCTTTAATAATCCAAAAAAAGTGTTCATGGCATTTTTTTTGAGTAGACAGAAGTAGATACTTTTTAAGTAAATCAATTCCAAAGGGATTGTTTTTTATGATAAACACTTAACATTCTATAGCTTTCGTAAATCTAAATTCACAAAATATAATGAAAATTTACATAAAAGATCGATTTTTGGTCTAATTAGTTAATATTAGTATTTGATCATTAAAAATAGATATATTTCTAATCAAATCAATTCTAAAAATATAACAAATTAAGGTTTTCTTTGTGTGGTGCTAAACACTTATCATTCTATAACTTTGGTAATTCAGAATTCACAAACTATGATCAATATTTACCTAAAAGATAAAATTGGGTTAATTTATTAACATTGGTATTTGAATATTAACAATTGACACATTTCTATTCTACAGCATCGTCATTGGGACATTGAATATTTGTGGGTGGACATCAATCACGCTAACATAAAAGGTACTTACTGTATGTCATTTTTACATGCATGCACCTAATTATGTTTTGAGGTCATCTATACGTATATTGCATATAGACTACACATATTCAGTTACGTGTTAAAACTGAATAATATATGTTATCATGATGATATCGATACAATTTCATTCGCGATTACAAGTTTCACCAATAGTAGATACACATGATGTTGCAATCTATAGCAATTGATGATGCTTTGACATTGGATTTAGTAGCAAAGCTATTCCCTTATATAGTACGAACACCGATAGAAAGTTCCAATCATGAATGATTTCATAATAATCATTTTTATGAGTGAAATGCTAGATCTCTTAAACTACAGTCACAACTCAGTGGATGTTAGTTTTTTCACAGCTTCTTTCACAACACCTTCGTCTCCGAAACTGATTGACAAAATAACAGGTAACAGTCTTCATAATTATGTTGCCTAATTTGGTAATTAATTGTAATCTACTGCAATAAACTTAAATTATTAAATAATTACCTACAAATTTGAATTTACCGGAATCACAGATCATTGACCTCACTAATCAAAGTGAGAAACTACTCCCTCTTTGTTGACGCACTACAACTTTGACATGCTTCTATTCCTTAATACTTAGCAACTTATAGGCAATTTATATATATCCCCAATTTTATTTACAGATTTCACCAAATTTGTGCATCCATTCAATAGGGTTGCAAGAGAAGAAAAACATATACTTATAACATTAAACTCATAAAGTTCATGAAAAAATAGAGTGCTTAAAAATAATTTTATTTGTGAGATTAATTCATTTAACTATATGTGTCGTAATTTATTCCCATGTAGATTAATTCATTTAACTATATTTGTGGGAATAAATTACCATTTACATTAGAGTATGTATATAGCTTATTAGGATATCTAAAAATTGAGAACAATTCTGCAATAATCTAAATCCATGTAAAGATTATAAAGATAAGTCAATTAATATAAGTATTTTCACTCTAAAATACGTCTTTCAAAAATTAACCATGTTCCAAGATTATGACACAGAAACAACACAAAGTAATTAAAATACACTAATTCAAAACTTACCAGCGTTGATCACTAAAGGGTAATTTTTTTCCTCAAAATAAAATTCAACCTGATCAAGCTTTCAGTTTAACTTATGCATGCAATCTTTCCTTGCGATAATTTTCTTACAAAGTTGACACCCCTTATAGCCATTTGAGCAGTAGTTAAGAAGAAAGATCTCTACTGCCTTAAATTTCTTCCCATTCTAAGCTTTTCATCCATTGTTCCAATACATACAGAGCAACTGCATAAATATTTGCGAAATTTAATAATTCAGTATTTTTACGTTTAATCAAACATAAGGAATAGAAATTTAGTTTCTATATCATGTTTCAATAAGCTAATGTATTTGAATAACAACTTTTGACCAAAATGTTCAGAGAATTTCCATCACCAGCAGAAGAGTCTGGCCATAAATTACAAAGTACTCTATAATCAATACAAATACACTAACAATCCCATTTATGCTTATTGCTCTATGTATTGTACAACAAATAAGAATACTGGCAGTAACTTTTTTGGGTCCATCTACTATCAGTAGATATGCACAAGCTCTCTAATACGTGAAAGATGAACTAATATACAATGGTTATTTGCCAAACGAGTTAATCTTACTCTGAGTAAGTATCATCTTCTTCTATGAAATTATACTCCTTGAGGCCATCAAGCCTGAGTAGCAAAGTTCCTGAATTTTCTTCACACCAATCAATACCTTCCCTCTTAATCTTAACCAGGGAAATTACCTGGAATGATCAATCGAAGCCATATAGAATAAGATGTGTCCACTGCACAGATTCTACGATAATCTCTAAAATCAAAAAATTTCAGAAAGACTCCTGAGTGTAAAGGAGTAAAAAAAATTCACTCAGGGGGTCTATCTGCGAAGATTAAAAGCAATGAGGTAATAAGATCAAAACAACAAAACTCTGAAGGGGTATATCTTCAGTTAACCAAAAAATATATGCATAGTTCAAAGAAATTGATGGTTCATTAGCATGATGCACTTACTTTTATTTTTATTTTGTTCTTTAAAAACAGTTGAACAACACATTCAATATATGAGTTATCTATTTAATAAATGATAACACCATCTTCTGCAATTATAGGATTACTTTTTCATATGCAATGTGCAAATCATTAGAGTTGTGAAGGAACTAGATTGGCGTTATGTTGGATGTCGAGATTGTGCAAAAAAAAAAACAATCAACTTCAGGACAAGTCTGTTGCAAATCATGTAATAGGGAAGTAGTGGCTCAAATCAGGTACACATTCATATGCATATTTCATAGTCATAATTACAAAGCACATGCAATATTATTTTCAATCATTACCAAGTCTATAATTACATAAATCAGGTACAAAGCTATAAAGTGAAATATAGTTCAGCAATTACGATGTTTCTACAATTTGTGCTCTTAAATAAAAAATTATACAATATAGTAATAATTTTGAGATTTTTGAGTATTTTTGTTTGGTGATTGTGCTTATTTTTCTTTTTTGTTTGATTTTTTTTTCAGAAAATAGTAGGCAGTCAGATTTTTAAGATCAGATTGTCACAAGCTATTAAAAACAAATGGCTGGAGATCGGGAAACAATTAGTCTCGAGAAAGGTATGATTTTTGATTAAATTTTGTAGTATAATTTTGAGGGGAGGTATGATTTGGTTAATGATGGCTAGGGATGGTATAACCATGAAGATAAAAACAAAAGTTTCTAAATTTCGTCAATGACAATTACTGATCATTTTTTAGAAATTTTGGGGAGCTTTTATTGAGGAGAAAATAAAGATTTCTTCTGCCGTAGTTGGCGAGAGAATGAACTATTAATATGTGCTCAGATCTGAATATTTCCTCTAAAGTAATAAACTATTGATATGTGCTCAGATCTGAAGATTTCATCTGTCAAAATTTTGTTCATTTTCTACTTATTTCTCTTTAACATTAATAACAAATCTTTGAAAAGACACATTAATAAAGAGATTATTATACTTAGTTGATGATTTATGGTAGTCAATTTTAATATTTGATAATATTTTTTTGGACATGTCAGTTTCATATTTTATAATTTTTCTGTTAGAATCAGTGATAAGGAACTTCTATGTTTTCAGGTGACGGAGAAGGTCGTTAAGAACATCTCGGAGTAGGGAATTTCCACGCTTAAATAATCCAAGACCCCATTTAAGCCTGCAATTGTTCTATTTTAGGTTTTGCTCTTATTTCTCTTCTTTTTACTGGCTTTGTTTCTTTTTCCCCCTAATGATAAATATACGATATTATAATGTTTGTCTTTGAGACACGATATAGTTAAGAGGATAGTTTGCATTATTTTGTAAGATGAACTAAAATATGCATCAAGAGATAACTCCTTCGTAAAAATTCATGATTGGTTGTCACTCAAGTGACTGATTCATGAATATATGTTATATTGAATGTAGAGTTTTGTTGCTATATTGTTTTATTAGGCCATTATGTGTGAGTTGTTGGAATAGTATTGTTATATTTGCACCATACAATATTATTAGGCATCAATTTTCCAATTGCAACTCATTTGAAGGTCTTCATAGTTGCTAGCTATAAGAATAATTTTGTATAAAAATAAAATTGAGATCAAACAACATTAACGAATTGTAGAAAAGAGGCGAGGGCCGTGCTTGGCACGGGGTACACACTAGTATAATATATAACTTAGTATTAATTAATTATATTTTCCATACATTGATCTCTTGTGTTAATAATATTTGTAGGGTAACAAAATACAAGGAGTTATATACGGAGAGACTATCGAAAAGTTTATAAATATGCTTCGAAAAAAATCAAATTATTTACATTTTAAATGGAGAAGTGAAAGGAATAAACACAGTTTTTCCAAGTATCTACAAGTCACTTGAATTAGTATTAACAAAAGACGTATCTATCAAAGAAGCACCAACAGGTTTCCACTTGGAGAACATATTGAACAACTTTGTCCCATTTGAAGAAGCATTTTCCATGAAAGATGCAACTGTCCCATTTGAAGAAGCATTTTCCATGAAAGATGCAACAAAAATTAGTAAGTACTTATAAATTTCTTAATTTAATCTTCAATACAAAATGAGACATTAATTTATAGAATCATAATTTCTTTATAAAATTACTTGTATATATTCTTGCAATTACAACTAATGTGAAGCCGGTGATCAAGTATATTACAAGACATAACAAACCAGACACTAGGAGGGAAATCACACTAATGGATATAAGGTATATTCATTATACTTATTTCCAATATCATAAGAAAAAAATAAGATTAACGTCATTTCTTTTTCATTTACAATGGAATGCCTATGCGCACAATGTTATTTGGAGATTTGGCTACAAATGAAGGATCAATTCTTGAAGCCGAAATCAAAGATAAGCCTGTAATAGTATTATCAAAGTTTAAAATATCTATATATCAAGGTACATAATTTTATTACTGAAATTCTTATTAAAGATAGCTAAACATAAAATTAATCTTATAATTATCTCAATTTTCCAGGGAACACAAGCATATCGTCGCAAATTATATCATCTAGATGTATCAACCCAAAAATAGAACTAGCTAGCGAATTAAAGGAATGGTAAGTAGAACAAGCATACTTTCATATAACCCAATGTTGAAATAGTATTATATTTTAATCTAATATGCAGGTAAGTAGAACAAGCATACTTTCATATAACCCAATGTTGAAATAGTATTATATTTTAATCTAATATGCAGGTTTCAATTAGAAGAAGTCGCAAAAGCAAAAGGATCTCCTTCGACGTTTTTTAAAAATGGAAAGAAAATTCAAATTAGTGATATTATACATACATCCCAGAATTCGATACAGATACAATATTAGAAACCTATTCTTCTTAACAAATTTAAATCTAACTAAATTTTGTTAATATATGGATACACTATTGCACATTTACGACAAAGATAACTACTATTTTAAATAGACTCGAGGCATGGTTCTATGCTTGCGAAGGCTGTTACAAGAAGGTAGATGAAGATGTTAGTAAAGAGTGTCTGAATGACAAATGCCATAGAATCATTGATGACCCAGTACTAATGTTAAGTAATATATATTTTTTATGACATGAACATATTAAAATACAATATTAACTATCTCTACAAATCAACAATGAAAACTTCAGGTATTTAGTTAAGATTCTCGTGGAAAATAACACGGATAATGCAAGAGTTACACTCTTTGATGCAAAAAAAAAACTCTTATTGGATGCACAGCAGAAAAATTCATTACAGAAAAAATATAATTGCTAACTCTATTCGAGTAATAATTTAAAAAATCAAAAAATTCATAAGTATTAAAATAACATTTGTTCTCATTGCAATAGAAAAATAATCAGAGTCCATATGTCCAAAAATTCGCGTTGAACATCGGAAAAACGTTTAAATTCCTGATGAAGTTAGATGAAAAGACAAAAGATGAACGATGCAAAGGAAAGATAATAGCACAAGAAATTCAACTCCAGCCTGATATTATAATCGACATAGATGATGCAGATACTACTCTAGAATTTTCCAGAAAAAAGATAAAGGTGGAGAAAGATTGATCTTGGTTAAATTATAAATTTTTAAGTACAATATTTTTTAATCATTTTATGTCATAACTTAATTTTTAGTACAATTAGGAATTTTTATAAGGGATTTTCATGCAAAATTATTAGTATTTTTATATGCTTATGTGATTGCTTTCATCACATAAAATTACACTTTAATATTTAACTGTTTCTTGTCATTTATTATTGTCTAAGGATATGATCTTGCATTTATAATATGTTTGTGGTCCCTTCATCAAGTTACCATTGTGTTGAATATTATCTTCTTCATTTCTTTGAAGGATTGGATTTTTTTGGTGTTCTGTGGTCAGAATATTGTTGATCATTTTATATAGCTCAAGATAATTTTGAACACTTTTGCTAGGAGTTTGTTTATTAAAGTTTAGTGTTGCTGGGTAAAATTTGTGGATTTTTTCTTTGTGTGATTTCTTAAAGTTTTTTTTAATTGGGGATAGAATAGGATTGATTCGGTGTTATATGGTTAGAGCAACTCGATCAACATCTTTAGGTAGAGATAATTATAATGCACATTATTCTTTGGAGTTTGTTTCGTTTTTGTGGGAGATTGTTCAGTAAAGTTTAGTTCTATATATAGAGCCTATTTGCATCCTTCCAATTGATTTTTGTAACATTTTTTTCTCTTTTTGATTTTTTATGTATGCTCGCAACTACTGAATTTTATCTTAACAAGTTTTATGATCCCACATTTATGATATGTTAGTGGTCCCTTCATTAAGTTACCTGAATATTATCTTTGGTCTTATTATGATGAACTATTTCTTAGTTTAGCATTATATTTTATTTCTCCCCCATTACTTTGATATCTGGAAGTTTCTCTGCTATTTAATTATAGTACCCTCTATTTCCCCCCTAATATATACCGAGACCATGTTTAACACATTATACATTTAGAAAAGTATAATGCACCTATGTGTTAGGTCTCATGTTTAATGTGAGAAAATATTAACCATGTTTACTGTTTACTGTTGTGATGATTTTGCTTGGGGTTATTACAAACTTCAATATTCAATGTTCTTTAAAAAAATTCTTGGCTTACTAATTGTTACTTGTTTAGATTGTTGCCATGTTGAATAAGTGACCAAATTTGATCAAGATTTACTTTCATACTCTAATTAAGTTCCTGTTGGGTGTTGACGGCGGTGATAAATTTTAACTTCTTCGAAGAAAACTAATTTTCAAGTTTGCAGTAAATCAGACAGTGACCTTAGTGTTTTGAGTAAAAAATTATTTGAATAAACTTAATTTTTTGAATATTTTATTTATTGCTATAACTATAGTTCATAATGATAATTATAATATCTCAGTTAGATATATTCATCCCAGTTTAACTTAAAAAACCAATACATTTGTTTTTATTAATATTTAAATAAAATACTAATAATTTAATAATTCAATTTTACATATTTGAATTTAAGATGAATTTGACTTATTTAAAGTAAAGAAATAAATATAAAAAAAATATTTTAATATTTTACCACGTGCATTGCACGTGCATATAAACTAGTTATAATAATAATACGAGTTATAATGCTAAAAATTTGTTTTCATTCATAGACCAAATTTTCTTATGTGTGATAAGCATACACTCGAGTTACGAACTTGTGAGTTGTGAGACCATCACAAACTTTTATGCACTCAAATTTAAGCATTCTAAATTGGAGTAAATCTTATCTACAAATGACCACAAGCTCCCAATGGAAAATGACTTAAGGACCCAAAATATGGGACCAATGGAGGGGACAAGTGAAGTGTCTTCTCCCTATTGCATAATGAGTTGGCATGGTCAACTCATTATGCAATAGGGAGGGGACACCTTACCTGTCCCCTCATTTGGTCCCATATTTTGGGTCCCCATAGCAGTACTCGCTCCCAATAGTTAACTGGTTGAACTTAGTTCAAGGTTTATTGATACGTTGCTCAGAACTCGATACTCTTTAGCGAGTGAAGAATCGACAAGTACACATATAACTTTTATACATGCTTTTCCTCATAATCCCAATATTGAACCTCGATGATCTTTTACAAAAGACAGTTCATGACAGTTTCTCAAATTTTACTTGAAAAATAAAAATAAGTCCAAGGCAGTTTCTCAAATTTTACTTGAAAAATAAAAATAAGTCCAAGGCAGTTTCTCAAATTTTACTATGAATCACATATTGAGCTTATAACATTTATACATCATTCTCGTAAAGCTAATCTATGAAAGACCACAGATCTCAATAAGGTTAATTAAGGATGGTCCGGATGGACCTTTTGTACCGTCGCCCAATATTGTTCTTTTGCTACAGATAGAGTTGAGGAGGGATTTTTTTTTGAATCTGTTACCCTCACGAAAAGAGTAAATTGTTTTTTGACAAACAGAACTCGTGAGGGTAAAAGTGTCAAAAAAAACCACCAAGGTGCTTGTCTGCAAATGGGCGACAGTATAGAGGATCAATCCTCAATTAATCCGTTACAATAGTTGGGTATCTGGCTAAACTCAGATTCAAAATTTTACCTTACTACATTCTTCATCGAGCAAACAGTCAACGCTAAACATCCAACTTAAACTCGAACATTTTTACCTCTTCTTCAGCCTCTCCTATGCTTAAAACCAACAAATCCAACATCTCAGAAATCCCCCCAAACTCCAAATTCAAACAATCTCCTGCTATAAACTCTTGAACAACATTATGCACTTCAATCAAGCTACATCCTGGAGTCCTCTTCAACCTCCTCCCCCTCATCATTTTCCTCAACCTTGCAACCCCATCCCATCTCCCTTCAGCAGCATAAGCATTAGAAAGCAACACATAATTCCCTGAATCCTCTGGCTCGAGCTCCACAAGCTCTTCCATTGCCCTAACTGCTGTATTTATATCGCCGTGAGTCCTACAAGCGCTTAGTAATGATCCCCATATCGCTGCATCTGCAGGCACTGGCATGCCACTGATTATCTCCAGTGCACGTGTAATGTGCCCTGATCGACCTAGGAGATCGATGAGACAACCATAATGCTCGATTTCAGGAATAAACCCGTAGATATTCGTCATTGAACTGAAGTAGTTCAATCCTTCGTCTAATAGGCCACCATGAGCACAAGCATTTAAGACACCGACGAAGGTAATTTTGTTCGGCTTTACTCTGTTCTCCTTCTCCATCGTTGTAAATAACTCTATTGCCTCTCGAGCTCTCCCATGAGCTGCAAGTCCTCCAACTGTTGAACTCCAAGTGATGACATCTCTATCAATCATATCATCGAAAATTTGCTTTGCTTGGTCAATACTGCCACATTTTGAGTACATTTCGATAAGAGCATTGCAAACGTAAATCTTTTTAGTGAAGCCATGTTTCTTAGAATACGTGTGTAACCACTTGCCAAGCTCAAGAGCTCCAAGGTGAGAGCACGCAGGAAGAATAGAAACAATGCAAATATCATCAGGCTCAAATCCTTCTGACTGCATTTTATGAAAACCTTCGATAGCTTTAGAGTACTGACAAGCTGAAGTATACCCACAAATCAAAGCAGTCCAAGAGACAATCGTTCTATTTGGCATTGAATCAAAGATTGCCCTTGCTTTCTTCATCTGACTCAGTCTGGCATAGGCTGAAACTAGGGTATTATAAGTGAGCACATCTCTCTCAGGCATTTCATCAAACAGGTTCCGTACATTGATTAAATCATCACATTTGCTGTACATTTCAATAAGAGAGTTTTGAATAATGGGAACTGAATCCAACCCAGATCTGAAAACATGGGCGTGGACTTGCTTGCCAGAATCAAGAAGTAAAATCCCAGCACAAGCTTTGATCACAAAAGGATAGGTGAATTTGTCAGCCAAGATTGTTATTTGAGCTTGTGGGGATCTAAGCATTTGTCTGTAGAGAACGATAGCTTGGTAAAAATGGTTGTTTTGGGTGTAAGCTCTGATCAGAGCATTGTATAGAAATATATTTGGGTCAGTAATTTGGCTGAAGACTAAAGTTGCATAATCTATTTTGGCTTTGACGTTGCAGACGTTGATAATTTGGGTAGCAAGATAGCAACTTTGGGACATTGAAGAGACTAGAGCGTGAGCATGGATCTTCTTCAAATCTCTGAAGCTGAGGCAATTTTTCAAGATGAGTGTGATTTGATTCTCAATTTGCTTGAATACCCAGGGCTGGATTCTCATTTTTATGGAAGCAGCAGGGAAACACAAAAATGCTCTAAGGACTGTAAACTACCAACGCACGTTAACTGAAAAAACAGGGAATGAACGGAACAAAACCTGAGGTACAAGGAGAGTGAAAAGAAGCAAAAGACCAGCTTAAAAACAATTCGAGAAATAGAAACCTGAACAAATTCCTGCATATACAATATGTTAAACATTGGCTAGAGCAGCTTATATTCCTAAAGAACATCTGATCATCACTCGGGCCAAAGATATAAGCCATTCCATCAACAATCATAACCAGTACAATAAATGCTAGCAAGCAACTTTTACACCATTTCATCATCCCAAACAGTTTTAGGGGATAGATTGCTGGACCAAAACTGCAGGGCAATCTACATCATTGTCATGGGTTTTTTTTTTTTTTTAAGTTATTGAAAGTTAATATATGAGGTGAGATTGTTCAGTGTAAGCAATTACAAGAGCTGTTTGAACTTTGACGATTCAAGCATCGAGTATATCACCACAGGCTGGAGCACTCTCCCATGAATCTTATCTTTTCCTACGATATCCATAGCCAGACTTCGGATCTGGAGCGCGAGAGAATTTCAGCTTGAGAACTAGTGAATCAGGCTTGCGCTCATCCAACTTGTACCCTATAGGGAAATCAAATTTCCCATCATAAGCTTGCATTTATGAAGAATAAAATCAGATTAATTTAAGAATAATTCTAAATTAGACTTTGAAGGTCTGCAGTTTTTTCAAGACTATGGCAAAAATTAATGTGATAGATAATAGAAATCTGAAATGAATTTGACTTAAAATACAATTGCGGACATTGCATTTTGAAATACACCAAAAGCAACAGAATAAGTAAGAGCTTTTCTGCATAATGCTACATCTTTTAGCATTTATAGTAAGCATATGTTGCACTTGTACTCCTTCAAACATCAAATGAATCCAAGTGTTCAGAATCAGATCCTGATATTCTTCAATTATAAAAATAAATTCTCAGATCATCTATCTCTGCACTTTCAAGAGTTAACGGGTTCAGATATGATGCTTGAAAATTTAATATTTTTAGCCCTGTTAATTATTCTTTTTCAATCAAATCATATTTCCATTTGAAACCTTTCTAAGCAAACCAAACGAAGTGTGTATATATTATATTCTCTCCCCTACTTTACACCTATATACCCTTACCCCTACTCTGCACTTATATACCCTCAATTGTTTTGGCAACACTTATATATACCTTGAAGTTTTTAAGATTCACTTAACTACCCACCATTATGCAAACGTGATAATATTCTCTTAAAAACACTCACATGCTAATTTTAGATTTTTTTTTTAACTTTTAACTTTTGTTAAATTTAATGTTAAATCTATTTCAATTCTATTTAAAAATAGAATTAGCGTAGGTTTAAAATAGAACTAATGTAGGTTTAACAGTAGATTGAACAAAAATTAGGGTAAAAAGTTCTAAAATTAGCATGTGAGTGTCATACGGAGATTTTCGTCAGAATATTGTCACATTTGCATTTTAAAAAGCTTTAGGGCATACAAGAGCTGCCAAAAACAAGTGAGAAGACCTAAGTGCAAAGTAAAAGAAACTCTTAAGATATTTAAGTGCAAATTAACCTAGAATCTTATACAATGTTGTTTTACATCACGTGCATTGTGCATCTGGGGAACTTTGTAGTAAAGTTTTAAGTGTAACTCTTATCTACTTGTGGAAAGGAAAAAAAAAATACAAAATCATGTTATGAATCTTTAGCCCGAGTCCACATCTCCTCAGAACCGCCCGCATGAGTAGGCAGTTTCGCACCTACATGCAAAAAGTAGGGGCAGTATCGGAATTTTTCTCTACACTGTATGAATACGAACCGTCTGCTCGCACGCGAGCGGTTCTGAGAGGATTTGGATTCTTGATTCTGGACTTAGACTTGTGAAGTTGGCTGGTTTCCAAATGAGAGAAGAAAACCATGGGCCACAAGTAGCGGTTTTAGAATACTGCTGCTTATTTTTGCCTATATAAAGGGTCCCCTAGCATATACCGAATACCTTATGTTGCTTTTGTAATTCTTTTAGGGTTTTACGGAGAGGAATAGATTGTTAGGAGTTATTGGATTGGGTTTGGGTTGGAAAAATCATGTAAATCCATGTATTTTCCAATACCACCCATTCCAATGATTTCTAACTGTCTAGCCCTCTCCTATTTCGACTTTGCAATTTTTCCCAACAAGATTATGTGAGTTAATGGTTTTTTTTTAATTAGAGATTGTTGTGAGTTGTGATCTTTATGTGTTATTATGGTTTCTCATTGGCTTCTCAAAGATCTAGGGTACCTAAAAGCCCAAAATATTTATTTGACAATAACATAAAGCTCATGACAGATACTACCTTAATGGAAATTCATGGTGGTTGCAAAACAAAGATAAAAGTTCTTGTTAATATGTCATCTAATTCATGAGTAGATTTTTAAAGTATGTGGTACTTTTATGTTGATTTGAAAGTCTATGGCATTTTCTCTAATAAAAATAGTTTATTGTATTTTTGCTCCAAGTTGTTCATGGTAGTTTTGTGAAATTTCCCCTTACACCAATTGAAAAGTTTAAGAACCTAAATATTCATCGGTTTTGGTTCTCTACCTTAAGGGTCTAGTTCTTCAATTTGCATCTCCACTTTTTGAAACATTGTCCAAATGCTAAAAAGCAGTAAGAGAGTTTTTTTTTAAAAGCCACCTTGCAAGGCATTCAAAGCTGTCATAGCACAGACTGCATCGGTGAAATCGACAAAACTGAAGACTTTCTGCTCCGCATCCGGCTGCATTACCATTTACAAGAGCTTAGTAAAGAAAAAGACAATCAACTGAAATGATATTAAAAAATGGCACCTTGCACATAACTACTTGCTTAGAAAAAAATCACATGTAAATAAAGAAAGAAGCAGTAGTGTGCAACATTCACACTTACATGTTTAAGCTCCTTTTTCACTAGCCTCGTTTCTTCGTAACCCAAAAAAGGTCGAAATATATCTTTCACTTCTTGTCAAGAAAAACAAGAGAAACAAAGTAAAGGAAAAAAAGAATCAGAAGGTTTTGCATTCAAGGATACGTGCCACTTCCCTCTCAGTTGAGTCAAGAGGAAGGCCTTCAATAAATATACTATTTGAGGCCTCAGGTGGCAAACACAGGCCTTGACCAGTTACCGCTGGCATAATGGCAGAAACTGTAGGAACTTGGTTCGCAAATTGACCTGTAAAAGCTTTTTGACCATGGGTCCCAGGGTCAAGGATGCCCGTTTTAACTTGATTCATAATGGGGTCCCTGAAAGGGACATGGAAAGGAACATTATCATCCAAAATCCCTCCATTAATACTCCTTGTCAATCCACTTCCATTAAAATTACCAGTTTCGACAGAGCCAGGGACGCTTTTGCTGCAAATTACAAGCAAGAAACTATATTTAAGACACAACTAGAAGATCTGTACTAAGAAATCCTGAAGAGAACATAAGGAAATATATGCTACAGTAGTCTGGAGATAACGGTCATATGATGCTCCAATAGCTGTCGAATCTCTTAGAGTTTGGAGCTCAGCACGCTCATCTTCTCTTGGCGGAAGACCTATAAAAATGAATTTATCCATTTGTATCCTTCATATAACACATGAGAAAACGAGAAATATATAAATAATTGGCGAGTCAAAACAAAAGAAAACGAAGTGTAGAGGAAGCAAATGTTAGAATGAAGATATAGAGTAAAAATGTACAAGTTCTATCAATCCTGAAAAGAAAAATATTACACGTGATCAAGATCCATGCAAACTTCTTGAACATAAATTTTTGAATCAACCATTTGCTCACATCAGATTTCTCTATGATAGCAGTCAGAAGCCTATGGCTATGAAATTTATTTTAATATGTCCTTCACTCCTTTTCCAGGCAAGTCTCAAAGGACAGAAGGCTTGGGTAAGAAGTTCGCGTCATCAACCCATCCTAGTTTTTTCCACCTTGTTTTACAAAACTGTTCTGTCTCAGACACGCAAATAGTCGAATATAACAAAGAAGTGTGTGAGGGAGGTTCATTTTAATATGTCCATTTCCAGGCAAGCATTCGAAGGACAGAAGACTTGGGTAAGAAGTTTGTATAATCAACTCATCCTAGTTTTTTCACCTTGTTTTACAAAACTATTCTGTCTCGGACACTTGAGTTGTCGAATGTAACAAAGGGGTGTGTGAGAGGGAGATTTACTTTTTAATGTCCTTTTCCAGGCAAGTCTTTGAAGGACAAAACGCTTAGGTAAGAAGTTCCCATAATCAACTCATCCTAGATTTTTCCACCTTGTTTTACAAAACTATTCTGTCTTGGACGCTAGAATAGTCAAATGTGACAAGAGTGGGAAGGAGGGAGGGAGCTGGCTCCTTTGGAGAGAATTTGGAGCTAAATCTTTTATATTACAATTTGATGAAAGGTCATTCATTTTCATAAGCCATTCTATTAAAAATTAAAACTGATCTACATCAAAGTCTAAAATCAAATATTTGAACTTTCTGCCTGAGCATCAAGAAGGTACAAGATGAATGGTTGAAAATGATATCTTTTCCTTACATTCACACTTTTAAGGCATAGAAACTGTCTATCCAAATATTTCATTTTAATTGAGATCTTCAAGTTCCTGTAAAATCAATTGCGGTAGGTCATAAAAGTTCTACACCATTAATTTTAACTTTCTGTGAAACTATCTATTCAAATATTTCATCTTGATTAAGATAAGTTCTTTAAAAATCAATTTGAAGTTCTACACCATTAAATCAATCAACTTTCTTTTTATATGCTCATTTTGCGCCTAGTGATGCATGGATACAAAACTTTTAGAATGTTTGATTTTCAGGCATTTTAAATTATAGATCAATTTAGTAGAGTGAACAATTCAAATAAATCAATAAATATTAAATTTCCATAAGAACTTGTCTTCGTATACTTTTGGAAGAAGCAATATAAGTGTGTGTGTGTGTGGAGGGGGGGGG